AACAGGGTCAGCGTTAGTGGAGGGAGGCCGAGCATGCCCTGGGAGCACAGGCGAGGGGCGGCGTCTGCAGAACACCTGGCCAGCACCGACACTCCAGCCCTCTCTGTCCCTGGCCTCAAGGAGCCCAACAGCTCCTCAGGAACCATCTGCACTGCCCCAGGTCTAGAATGAGCTAAGTCCTGACTCAGCAATACAGCGTGGAAGTGATCAATCCTAACTAGAAGGCTTCATGGTAGAGGTGGCATTTGCATTGATTCATAAAAGTAGTAGGTTACTGAAAACAGTTTTTACCGATTACACCAAAAATGTTACTACAGTTTAAATTACAGAAGCAGCATAAACTATACTTTTTATAATGTGCATTAGAAACGCTTTTATACCCACCCACACTATCCTTCTCAAGAACGAGCACTACAACACATTAGTGACGTGTTAGATTTTTGTGGGAGGAAATGGGAGAGATGTTCTAGGTAGAGAAGCCTGCAAGAATAATGATGTAAAGGCTGACGGCGGGGCTGGGGTACGGGGGATGGCCTGATCTGGGCAAGTGTGTGCTGCCCGGATTCTGGAGGGAAGCAGGCGGACCCCGAACACCACACTCAGGAGTTCGTTTCACTCGAGTCTACACCACGGTTGCCAATAGCATGCAACACAGACAGAGGAAAGGGGCCGAGTTGGAGGCTGTTCTAATAGGACAAGGGGAGAGAAGATGAGGATCTCTTCCAGGCTCCTGTTGCCTGGGAGGGAAAAGATGCTTCACAGGGAGAACTGAGGGGCTGAGGAGGCGCGCAGCTGAGCCAGGGGCTGGCTGCAGCGATCAGTGACCAAGTCACATCAACCACTGGGACAATCCATTTAGCAGGGCAGGGCAGGCAGCAGGAAGGTCTGTGGGGCAAGTTGAGTTCTCCATTCTGAGGTTGTGGGACCATTGCAGCAGTCTTGGGCAGACGGCCTCTTTGTCCACCTGTCTGTCCCTTCCTCCTGCCCCCACTCTTTCCTATCTTGTGATACTGTCTTGTGCATGTCACCACTTGGAGGGGGCAGTGCAGGCCCCAACTCATTTTTATGTGTTTGCCCTGCATGAACTAGAAGGCTCACAAATGTGGGTTAAAGCAGCTTAGCCATCACATTTCTTAGCACAATGCAAGTTCTCTGATGCAAATGCAGACATATACTGAAGGTGGCGACAAAGCCTCCTGTCAATGGAAAGGCCACAGGGTAACTTCAAGGGTGGTTTCTCGTTTGCCACTGCTCATTCAGCTGCTCTGGTGACACAGGTGTGCAAGAACAACAGTCACCGTCCATCAGTCATGACTATGTGAGGCAGCAGGGAATGCCTGAACAACGTCCAAACACCTCCAATCTCTGTGACCCTCAGAGAGTCAAAGAGCAGGTGTCCCCACTTCCTTGACGCTCTGTTTGTCACAGCCTTCAGGAAAGCTGGGGACGCCTTCAAGATGGGAAAATACCACCCAGAGTTCAAAGTGATAACTCTTTGAAGAGCCAACGGTGGGAATGAAAAAATGCCTCCTAGCACTTTCGAATGGCTGGTACTGCGGGAAGAACCAGTCCATGATCCTGGAATGGGTACTTGGTCAAGTCTGCACTTACAGAAGCATTTGGAGAATTTTATAGCATCCTTTTCTTTAAAAGAAGAAGACGACAGAAGAAGTTCAGTGGAATAACATGGTATGTGAATGCAATATACTTTAGACCAAAAAAACCCAACAAAATTCATGTGTGGTAACAGTAACAGTCTCTTCAAGCTCTCAAAATTACCAGACAAAATCAACAAATCTGCAAGCTGAACGGAAGACAAACATCTTCTTTAATACCTAGCTACACCCCTTCTAGACAATTTGCCTCTTACCTAAACAGAGTCACAGTCCTCAAAAACAGGTTAAAAACTGGGTAACAATAAATGATCCAAGAATTAATTAACTAAAAAGGAGACTGAGGTAAACAAAGGAAAAATTATCATATCAAAATAAAAGACAAGAAACATGATTAAATTAGGCTTCAAAAGACCCGTGAGAAACTCATAAAAGGCGTAATATGCACTTACCTGGTTTTTATTCTTTCATGATTTAATTTCTAATTTTATTCACTACCATCTGATAATTGCATGAAACACTTATTCTAACCATGGGCAATTTAAACTATTTTAATTTTTATCTCAAGGCCATGAGACAAAGGAACCTATTTATTGCCTAAGGGGATTTTTTTTTTTTTTTAACAAAAATTAAAGCTTAATCTTTCATGTTTTAAAGCCAAGACTGTTTAAAATCATTTATAATAAAGCTATAGGGAGACTTTTCCTGGGTATGCAAAATTGAAATGATAAATTTACAATTATTAAAAAAATTAATAGTTTGGGGGATTGAATTGTCCCTTTGCTTTCTAGATGAATTTGTCTGAAGCTTAAGAGACACGCTTAAAAACAGGGTAAACCCCAGGCCTGTGGAGGAGAGATGGGATGAGGCGTCCCTTCATCTCACGGTGCGAGTGAACTGGCTCATGGTCCAAACAGTATGCCCAGTTTATTATTATTTAAAAAGTAAATAATGGCAATGGCCTTGGGAATGGCTTTCAACCCCTTTTACTTTCTAGGAAATTGCCTTGATGAAGTGGAGATTCATGAATTCTACTAACCACATTTTCTGTGACTTTGAAAAAGTCCCTGATGGAAATTAGACAAATAATTTACTTTCACTTAAACACCAGATTTTTTAGTTACACTTAAGAAAAATAATTGAAATGTAGATTTCAATCACTGCCGCTGCTGCACTTCAGGATTCTAAGAAAATACTTTCAGTTATTATGCAAAGCAGTCCTCAGTAGAGAAGAGAAAAATCGCTCTCAGTGACACCTAAGTGAGCGGCGCGTTCTGAAGGGCAGGAAGCCTCTTCCAGAGCAGTTAAGGCAAGGACGCGGCGCTGGTGTGGCTTTGACTCCAGCAGGGAGGAAGGCTCATCTCACAACACATGTTCCTTCACTGCGGTCTCAGGAAAAAACTGAGAATAGTCACCTATGTTTAAAATTCCTTTCCCATCAACACCTAGGCCGTCGCCCTAGGCCGTCTGAGTAGCCCACATTTTAAGAAGGTTGCAACAAGCTCACACTCCTCCCAACGTCGGCTGGAACGGACGCGGTCCACCCTGGAGCCCCCACTCCGCTCTCCCCCGCCCACTGGCTCTGTCCTCTGCCTCAACACACGCCATGGCTTCCATTACGGAACTCAGGTCTCTGCTCAAAGGTCACCTTTTGAGAGAGGGGTCACCTCCTCCAGTCCCCTGCCCCCTTTTTCAGTGGGATTCTGTCACGGATCTTTCACTCATTGCTTTGCTTCTTGTCCAAGTCTCTGATGGACTGAAGGGCTCGTGGAGGTTGGCAGCGGGTCCGTCCTGCTCACACCACACAGCACTTTCGGGATATGATTTTTGAGTTACATTATCTACACTGATCAGCTGACAGCTGCTTCTGCATTTGACTTCTTAAACTCAAGCCTCCTTCGGACTGAAGATGCACCACAATGCATTCACAGCACTCCGTGCTATTTTGGGGTAATCATAGTGCTCACAGGGGAGAAAAAAAAATCCCACTTAAGAAAATACATTTTCATCTGATTTATGAAATCTAAGTTGAGAGGGTCAAATTTTCATTTTTTTTAAAGGACTTATTTTTATAAAAGGAAAATCCATCATGTTAAAAATGTTTATTTCTCAAAAGGGATCATTACAGGATTTACTAAGTTGATGTGTTGCACTGAAGCTATCACTTAATTTCCTGAAATTAAGGGTGATAAAGTTGATTTTTCAGGAATAGTGTTTATTATATAAGATGAGGCCCTCATATAGTAAGGGTATGTTTTTGAAGACACTGTACACAGTGAACTCAATACACCTGCCACGAGATTTCAGCACATTATGGGGAAATCCACCAGCTTCTCCTAAACATCTCTCAGACTGCTCTCTCAAAACCGTCCTCCGGGTGAAATGTCTTAGATACATAATGTTTTACGCAGAGACGAAGGGCGACTGCTCTGTCGAGAACTGCCGGTTCTAGGAATGTGCCTCATTCCTCCCTCAAGTCAAAAGCCCTAAAATAGGCAGCGTGGAGCGGCCTGTAGCTTTCGATGTGTGTTTCCTGAAAACACACATGCTATTTTTTCATTAAAGTTTTTTCAACACTTAGCTAATCTTTGGGGCACAGCTGATAGAGGGTCACGGGATTTTGAAAGTTAGAAGGAAGCTTGAAGACTGCCAAGGCCGTCTCCTTCATGTAACAGAAAAGGAGGCGAGATCATCTATCAAGGCCTGGAAAACTCAGAGAAGGAAAGTCTGTGAAATATTCGACTTTTTTAAGTTTAAAAAGAAAAAAAAACCTCAAATCACGGTATCTAAGCAATCACATTCTATCTGGCTTGTATGAAAAGACAACTGGCGTCTGCTTTTGAATAAGGCAACAAAATTTGTGAAGAAAAAAAGACTTTAAATGACACAGCCCAGAGCCTGACCAGGAATGAGCCAAGATGTTCCTTGCTGGACTGTGGATTTTAAAATCAAGTGTGATGGATGGAGTTGGTGTGAAATGTAACATGAGAATGATTAGGAATTTTGAAAGAGAATTCTTACATTTTTTTTTTTTAAAAAAGGACAGGACAAAGAAAGATTAAGAGATGGAAGCTCTTCATAGTGGTCACAACTTAACTAGTGTTGAATGGACTAGTGTTTAAAACAGAGTGAATGTGAGAGAACGGCTTGCACGGTGGATTCTCTCACTGAAAACTTTTTTTCATGTTATCCATGGAAAATGAAAGACAAATTCGAACTTTGATCATTTTAAAAAATAAAATAACCCAATGACATAATGCGGCCCAGTATAGTTTCCCGGCTCCATCCTGGACACGTCTAGCCTCGCCCTTTGCACCTGGAGGCACGCAGACCTACCTGCCACTCCTGCTGCATCACCTGCAAGGGAAGAGCACCCCTCTCACTCACCAGGACTCGTGAGGGCTCCCAGGGCGCTGCTCGTGGTAGAGAGAGGGTTTGCATTGGTGCTGGTGGCTGAGGTCTGGGCCGCAGCTGCAGCAGCAGCCAGCGTCGCCAGGTTCTGCAACTGTAAAGCATTCATGCCTGTGGAGAGAAGAGAAAGCTACTTTTAGCAACAGGCCTCACACTTCTACAGTTTCCAAACAAGAGAGGGTTCATCAAATCGTCAGGACACATGATGAGAGCAGACGACCCTGTGCATGGTCACGTGCATGGTCACCTGCCTGGGTAGGAGCTGGGCTCTCCAGCCCTCTCCTCCAAGGCTACCTCTCCTTCAGTTCTCTCTGATGCAATTGCTCTTCCTAGAGACCACATACCCAGAAAGGGCTCCTGAATCCCACCCCGCAGTTCTCCCTGGCAGAGCCTGTACTTCTCCCTCACTAACGCAGTATTCTCAGCCCACGGCCCTCCTGCCATGCTGTAGAGATAAGTGCAAAAGAGGAGAGATTTCGGTGCTGACTGGCCAGAGTAGGGCCTTGTGGACTGGCAACTTCTATGACATAGCTGCCAAGACATGGTGAGATGTGGCAACAGCTGGAGGAAGGGCTTCAAGGTAAACTCAATCCCTCAAAACGAGGTATTCCAGAAGAAACTACATTTTATTGGAAGCTGAACTGGTATGGGTTCTAAGCCTGTTAATCTATTTCTTGACAGTGAGTGGCAGCATTAACTGAACCCCACCTCAAAGGGTTGTTGTGCAGATTAAGAAAGATGATGAAAGCAAATGACTTTGGCACTATATAAGTGCTCAACAAATGTCATCTTTTATTTTTGTTATTGCTATTGCCACTGAACTTCTCTCTCCGGATTTAAGCATGAACCCTAAAATGTGTCCATAGGGAACTCAAATTTCATATCTGATGAATAGAATGACTGAATAGAAATGGCTGTACCTTAATAGTTTTATTTGTAAAATATTTGTATTTACCTTTTAAAGGCATTTATATTTTAAAGAGGGACTTTAAGTAGAATAAATGTGTGACTCATGAAAATAATGAAAAAAATAGAAATGAAAATTAGCATGAACATAAGAGTGGGATTAGCTGAGAGATTTGGGGCAACAATCTAGGGGTAGGCTCAGCCCTGGTTCCTGCACTGGATAGTTAGTTTAACTGTCTTTTCTCCCTGTAGGCCGCTTCCATCTCTCAGTCCAAAGGTTCTCTGAATGGTCAAATTATTTTTCCGTGATTCACTTCACTGGAAGACTGCACATGTGAGAAGCATGAAACAATGGTTTTGTCCCTGCACAGAGGAACTGCAGATAGAAAGATGGTGGACTTCAGCTTAATTTTACCTTCTTCTCCGGTCTTAAGTCCAGATACTTAATCAATATCTACGGAGCAAATTTAGTCTTCTTTAGGGAGAGTGCCCTGACAGCTGCTTCTGTAATGTGTGTGTAGGGGCGTTGGCGGAGGGAAAGAGAATGTTCTAGCAACATATATCTGTAAGCCCCCAGCCATGGGGGCAGCTCAGTGCCTGGCTGCTGAGTGTTTTAGACAGCACCCTTCTGACCCTCTGCCCTGGCCTCCTCAACCAGGGTGCATTTCCACTTAGAAAAAAGTTCCTGCTGTCTTGGTTGCTAAATGGATTCGCATTTTGTCCAAAGTGATACTCTATCTTTTTCCAGGAGACATCCAGGCCTTTTGGCTTAGGTTGAAAGCCAAGCACCTGCTTTTCAAAACTTACTTATTTCACAGGGATGCTTGAAAGCAGGACAGAAGTATCTGTGTAATCCTGTGAATTTCTGCAAGACAAGGGCAGACTTCCGGCAATCCTCTTTATCAAGTGAACACAATCGGAAGAAAGCATTCCCTGGTTTTCTCTCATCAAGGGTCACACGGTGCCATATTCATGAGAACGTGGGTGTTGAGAGGCCCTGGTCTCATTTTTCAGTTTTACTTTGGGAAAACGGAGGAAATACGCAAGCTGCCTGGCCCTACTGCAGACCAACATGGTCCCAGCAAGGGGCTCTGTTTCCTACGAACACACGAATGCATGTTTGACTTGAATGTGAGGGAGCACCAAGGCTGTGTGAGGTTTTGCAAGGAGTGAGGTACGTTCACGCACGTCTGTCCGTGCCCTCTGGCTCTCTCACGATGCATGCTTCCTCTAACGTGAACCACGACCAGACCACACCACCAACATATGGCTGAGCACACAAGAACAGAGCTTAGCACCAAAATCAAAGCCTACAATATGCATCTGGCACTGATTAACGACAGGCAGAGCTCCCACTGTAGGCTGAGGCCAGCGGGTCCCGTTCCAGGACATATATGTCCCTCCCAGGTAGGAGCCTCAATGATGGAGCTGTGTTGATGGCCTGGCTCAGCTGGCCCACTTGGGTCAGAGACATCAGGTCCCTGGCCAAGGCCTCACAGCCAAGGAGGGGACCCTCCTGGGCCTGGGCAGAGCCTTCTGCCCCCATCCTGTAGCCTCCTCCTAAGGAGATATGGTTTACATTTAATGCACATACTTTTTGTTAGCTGCAAGTTTCTTTATATGTTTGTTTATAACTCTTTTGTGGCTCACATCATACCCTACGTTGACATTATTTATATGTATTTCTTGCCCTCCCAACCAGATATCAAGTTCCTTTAGGACAAAAATTTTGTCTTACTCATTTTCAAGTCCATGTAAACACACACACGCGGGCGCACAGTTGAATATATATAGTATGTACACGCGCACAGTTGAATATATATAGTATGTGATGAGCAAATCTATATAAGACAAACAGGGTAACAGACACTTTGACATTTACATAAATTGCTCTAAAGAGTATTGTCTATATAGAGCTAGCCAAGGTTTTAGTTTTCCCCATTCTTTATTAGTTCGTTGGTATTTACAACAGCATCAAATATTGGCTGTTTCATCTCAATCATTAACTAATCCACTGTGCAAATACTTAATAGGGCCCATGTTTAGTCCTTCTCTCACCCACTGACATTCACTAAAGGTCCTGGAACTGAGCCGACAGCACTCAGGTTCTCTCCACTGCCCGTTCCTTTAGGATCCAGGGCTGAGGGCCTGTGTGTCCTCCTCTACATTTCTCCTCCACACACTTTACCACCCAACAGAGTTTCTGACACTCTGCTAAGCTTTTCCCTGCTGCTGCCTGGGAAGTCCAGGGCGGGTGGCTGAGTCTCTGAGGCACCACACTGAGGCATGGCTAACGCTGCTCAACAGCCAGACTGCAAGGAAAGGAAAAACTATGGGTCAAGGAATCTTAAGATGAAGAGTGGAAAGGAGGGGACACTGTGATCCCTAGCATCTGAGGGATCTGAGGACCAAAGGAGAGAAGAGTTAGTCAGAACCAATCAAGGAGGAGGATCCACATTTGCTTGTCCATCCATCTAGCCATCCATCCATCCATCCATATATCCATCATTCACCCATCCACCCACCCACCCATCCATCCAACTATCCATCCATCCACCTAACTATCCATCCACAGATCCATTATCCTCCCACCCATCCATCATCCATCTACCCCATCCATCATCCACATACCCATCCATCTCTCATCCACACACCCGTCCATCCCTCATTGTGGGATAGATGCTCCCACCCATCTATCCATCATCTACCCACCATCAATCCATCCATCCATCCACCCACATATCTACCCAACTATCCATCCATCCAGCCACCTATCATCCACCCATCCATCCATCATCCATCCATTATCCATCCACCATCCATCCATCCACCCACATATCTACCCAACTATCCATCCATCCACCCACCTATCATCCACCCATCCATCTATCATCCATCCATCATCCATCCACCATCCATCCATCTACCCACATATCTACCCAACTATCCACCCATCCATCCATTATTCTCCCACCCATCCATCCATTACCCTCCCACCCATCCATCCATTATCCTCCCACCCATCTATCCATCATCCTCCCACCCATCCATCCATCATTCACCCATCATCCATCCATCCACCCACCCACATATCTACCCAACTATCCATCCATCCTCCCATCCATCCATCCATTATCCTCCCACCCATCCATCCATTATCCTCCCACCCATCCATCCATCATCCACACAGCCACTCATCCTTCATCAACACACCCATCCATCCCTCATTGTGGTATGGATCCTCCCAACCATCCATCCATCTATCCATCATTCACCCACCATCTATCCATCATCCACCCATCCACTTATCCATCATCCACCCACCCCTCCATCCATCATGCTCCCACCCATCCATCCATCATCCACCCACCACACACTCATCCATCATCCACCCACCACACACTCATCCATCATCCACCTATCACACACTCATCCATCATCCACCCACCCCTCCATCCATCATCCACACACCACACAGTCATCCCTCATCCACTCCATCCATCATCCACCCACCATCCACCCATCCACTCATCATCTACTCCACATCCATCTATAATCTGGCACTGCTTAATGACAAGCAGAGCCACCGTTCTAGGCTCAGGCCAGGGGGTCCCCCTCTAGGACATATCTGACCTACCCATCCACCCATCGTCCATCAACCATGCATCCACCCACCCACTCATCCATTATTCACCCCCATCCATCATCTACTCACCCATCCATCTACCCACCCACCCATCATCCACCCATCTATCCGTTCACCATCCATCCATCATCACCCATCCATCCATTATCCACCCACTCACTCACCCATCATCTACTCATCCGTCCATCCATCCATCCATCCATCCATGCAGTAGTTACTGAGTGGTCATGATGGGCTAGACCCTGTGCAAGACACTGAGGATAAAGTAAAAAACATGATAGTCCATGTACCTGAGCAGACTGCTGGATATCAGAGCAGGAAGATGTCAGGGAGTGGGGAAGAAATCCTGCCAGTTCATCAGTTTCTTGAAATAGGCCCAGATTCAGAATGAAATCCTCCCTTAAGTCTTTGATTCGATGGGGATGGTAGAGGAGCATAGGAAAGCACAGCCCAGCTGAGGAGCTGCAGGAGATGTCATCCCTTCCAGCCTATCCCTCTCCTAGTCCTTGTGTGCTGACCCATGAGGCTTTCATGGTCCTCCCTACTCTTATTTTCAGAA